CAAGTCGTGGCGGTGTCACCAACTCCTCTGCAGAGCCACGCATTCCATGCTTGGCAGCCGTCAGCAGGTTTACCTGCCTCTGCCTGTCACTGCCTCAGTGTAGGTTGTGGCCTGCCTCTGCCTGTCATTTTTTTTGATTAGTGGTACTATGCGTGCAAGCTACTGTGACACCAGATATGAGTGGCACTGTGAACTGGCAGAGGTTGGCAGAGTACACGCTGTAGGGCTGACACACCCTCTTGAAGACAACTAACTGCTATTCAATCTATAACAGTGAAAAACAGTTTTTTGTTTTTAAATGCAAGCTATTGTGACACCAGATATGAGTGGCACTGTGAACTGGCAGAGGTTGGCAGAGTACACGCTGTAGGGCTGACACACCCGCTTGAAGACAACTAACTGCAATTCAATCTATAACAGTGAAAAAAGTTTTTTGTTTTTAAATGCAAGCTATTGTGACACCAGATATGAGTGGCACTGTGAACTGGCAGAGGTTGGCAGAGTACACGCTGTAGGGCTGACACACCCGCTTTGAGACAACTAACTGCTATTCAATCTATAACAGTGAAAAAAGTTTTTTGTTTTTAAATGCAAGCTATTGTGACACCAGTGAGTGAGTGGTGGCACTGGGCACAGTATCCACTGTGAGCCTGACACACCCGCTTTGAGACAGCTAACTGCTATTCAATCTATAACAGTGAAAAAAGTTTTTTGTTTTTAAATGCAAGCTATTGTGACACCAGTGAGTGAGTGGTGGCACTGGGCACAGTATCCACTGTGAGCCTGACACACCCGCTTTGAGACAACTAACTGCTATTCAATCTATAACAGTGAAAAAAGTTTTTGGGTTTTAAATGCACGCTATTGTGACACCAGTGAGTGTAAGGAATATGAAATAGTTTCCTTGTTCATATGTATTTTATGCTTTTATAAGGTTTATAAATATTATTGCTGACTGAAAGGATATGAAATAGTTAAACTCAATTTACGACATAATATGCTGACTGTGACAGACTAGGGTATTTCTTCTATAGGATGTAAGACAATGCTAAATCTCAGGATGTCTTGCCCATTCCGATTTCAGGATATTCTTCCCCAGACGTATGCAAAAGCTTATCTTTCCATTGTCAGAATAACATGTAATATAAGGAAGTAATACATCTTATAGTCTGTCCTGTATAGCATATCTCATGGCTAATGTAAGTAAACTATGTATAAAAGCTAGCTCTGGAATACACTAATTTGAGAGTCTTGTCAAGCATCCTGTTGTCCGTGTCTTATTGCTGACAATGATTCTCCATCAACATGGATTATGGTGACCGAGGGATCGAGAACCGAGGGGATTTGAGTCCATTACAGCATTAACCCTTTCAGCTTGGTGTCTAGAAGTGGGATAGGTGGATGGATCAGCAAAACCATTGCGGTGAGTAGCCTTTTTGTGTCTTATTTGACGCTGATTGTCTTTGACCCCCCTTTGGTTCAGTAAGTCTGTATCCAGTAGATAGGAAAGGTGTAAGGACTCTAGTTATATTGAGACCATGAGAGGTCTCCGGTTTATATTGAGACTATAAGAGGTCTCCGGTTTATTAGACATTTGGTCAAAATATATATAGGGTTTTGGTAACCCAGGTTAGTATCTAAGATAGATACAGGGTATGTCAGGTAGATACAGGTTTTTGAGACCATAAGAGGTCTCCGGTTTATTAAACCTATAGGTGTTCTGAGGAGCACGGCTTATAGATCTATAAGTATAACCCAAACTTCTCTTTCTCCCGGTCACCTTTGTTTATCTTAAGTGTTCTTTGTGGGTGATTGTTTGTCTATATTGGGGACACACTTTGGTAAGTTAGTAGTGTCCCCACTCTGAGTCAGCAGTATGGGAAATGTGAGTTCAGGTCCTGAGTGACCAATATATGTATGTATAAATGTGTGTGTATATGTAAAAGTGTATATATAAGATAGCAGTACTTTTAAACAAATGGAGGTTTTAAAAATACATAGGGATTAAGGAGAGAACACAGGTAACTTGTTTTTCTTTGGTTTTTACCATATATTGGGGCTGATGTGTACTGTAGTCCTTGCTGCTGCCCAGTAGTGATGGGAGTGAGCGCAGGACTTACAGTACTGCTATCTTGCAGAAAGATATTTCAGAAAAGAAATGACTCACAGGTTGTACCTGATAGACCTACTTAAATCTTTTTACTTTATTCTTTCTGTCGCATACAAGTATAAGTTTATTACTCTGTTTTATTGTAAGTTATTTCACATGGGATCTGTGTGCCTGGTATGATTGTTGCTTTAAAAATACCATAAGCCCACTGCACTTTTTATGAGAGTGGGATAAGTGTAAATTAGTTTTTTTTTTTTTTTTAAATGATGAGCTCAGTATATTTTATACTGAGACAAAAAGGAAGCACTTCATTAGTATTTGAAAGTTAATTCCCCATATGGGATTAATTGTATAGAAACACAAATCAGCACATCTTCCCTGCCCTGTGTGTTTGTTGCAAAGGATCCATACTAAATCTGATTTATGTTTGAAAATAACAGAGCAACATTTACATTTTCAGCGGTCCAACACATGCTTTATTTTGCACTGTAAACTAACCTTTTTATTGCGACAGATTCCTTTTAAATGATCCAGTGTAATAACTACTGCTTGTGTCTTCTATGTTTCACATTATGTGTTATTTTAAATTGTGGTATATAGCCTGAATCAGACATCATGGACAAAGGTTTTTACCTGTGTTACTAAGGGCTCTTGGAGACTGACCGGTCTAAAGGTTTGCCATGCCTTAGAACATGGTATAGAATAAAAAAATTTTAAGTCTCTGAGAGTTCTGAAAGATTCAGGTGAAACCATGTCTGTTTAATCTGGTCCAGATGTTTGTTCAATTTCTATAAGATTTAAATTGTTGATGCAGCATCATCTCAGATTAGTTAATGGAAGTTTTATACAAATTGTTGAGTTATGAGCGCGCTATATAAATGGATCCTTTCTTTATATACAATACTATAGTAGATTAAAGTAATGAAGTTAATTAAGAAAATGTATACATAAGAATCCCTAAAATAAATCTAAACTAAAATTGGTATACCTTCCAATAATATGTTCTGAATACAGCTGTTAACTGTTTATTCTGTGTAAATGGTGATTGTGATAATGTGTGATAAGTGTGCAGTTTAACTTGAAAGTGGTTTAATTTATATGTTGCTGTATTGTTTTAAATTATATGTGAATCAGTTTGTCACAGTCTAGTGATACTGATAAGAATGACAGCCAAATAACCTAGCAAATAACTGTTTTATAAGTTGTTGAATACTAGCGTTTTGGCCAAGAATAGTTGGAGATTTGGAGGTGTTAGTTTAAGATTGCTTTTATATTGTGTCTATCTGTGTTTCCTAGGAGGGAGACAGAGTGTGTAGTTGTGTGCCCATAAATGTGATTTCTGTATTGGCATATCTGCTGGGTACCCATTATGTGTTTCTACAAAGATATTGTTTTGTGAGATGACGTGTAATATTACATTGGATGCTGAGTATGAGTTATATGGTTTGAAATGAATTGGTGATTATGAGCTTAGTACTTCAGTAAGATGTGCTAAAATTTGGAACAAGGTGGAAGCTGAAATGTTGAGATTATGTAAGAATAAGCAGTCTATATCCACTGCTTTGGCATGTAAGCAAGGTGCAAAGGAAGAGATTGGTATTTTTGTAAAAAGATTTTACAAATGTTGGAAGGATGATGCAGGTTTGATGTCTGGAGATGATATAGATCTCTTTAAAATACAGTCATGCCTTGGTAATATGTTGCCACAGTATTCTTTGCTTGTGAAACAATTGATTTCAGACTGGGCCAATTTGGATAGCTCAGATTTTCTTACCAAGGTTATAGAAAAGGAAAATGCAGGTTGTTTTGACTTAAGAAAAGATTTAGGAAAGTAAGGTTGCTTATTATGCTCAGGGATTGCAACACTGTCCACCTACACAGGCTGAGAGCGAGGATGGGATGGAGCACATAAAGCCCATGGAAGGGGTGGTCAAAGAGGGGCGAGGGGATGGAGACAGGAAAATCAGGGTTATTGGGGCAGGGGTAACCAAGGAGGAATAGACAGGAACACTTGTTTCAACTGTGGCCAATATAGCCACTGGAGGAATGAGTGTCCACACCCCAGGAAACCCCACACACCCCAACAACTCCACAATTCACAAAATATGGCCGGTAGGCAAGAACAACACCAGACCCACTCCCAACACCACTGGCCAGCATATCGCTTAGTTCAGGACTTTAGAGCCCTGAATAGTTTAATTGTGCCCATTTCACCCATTGTCCCTGATGTGACATCCCTCATTACAGCCATTCCACATGATGCCACTTGCTTCACTGTCATTGATTTAAGTAATGCATTTTTTTCTATACCTATTGATCAAGAGACACAGCTACTTATGGTTTTTACTTTTTGAAGGCTGTCAGTTTACCTGGACACGTTTACCCAAGGCTATGTGGATTCCCCAGCTGTTTATTCGTTGGTACTCCAACATACTCTAAAAAACATGGACCACCGGTCATGGTTCCGTCTTTTTTGCAAAATGTTGATGATTTGTTGTTATGTAGCCCTAGCTATGAGTAAAGCACTGTGGATACTGTCAGCAACTGTGGGTCACAAGGTTGTTAAACACAAAATGCAATTGTGCAAATCAAAGGTTGAATACTTAGGTTTTGTTCTGGCTTTAGGCACCAGACAATTGAGTCCAAAACGTATTGAGGTCATTCAGAGGATTCCTATACCCACTACTCGGAAGGAGTTGCTCACCTTCCTCGGCATGATTAATTACTGCCACCAATGGATGCCTGAATGCTCCCATTATGACTCAATACTAAGGGAGGCTGTACGTTCTGACTCCCTGAAAATGTCTGCTGGTCACCAGACATGCTAGCTGCATATATTGCCCTTAAAGTTGTTATTGTGCAAGCCCAGGCTTTAGGACTACCTGTGTATTTTAAACCATTTCATTTGTATTTTTGGGACAATTGTAAAACCATGGCCGCGGTCTGTGCACAAGAGCAAGGAGGCGGTATGCGTCCCATAGCATTCTTTTCCAAAGTAGTTCGAGCTCCGGTACAGGGTATGCCGGCGTGTCTCAGAGCATTGATAGCATGTGCAATGGCTGTTGAAACTGCTACTACTATCACACTAGGGCATCCTACAATACTTCATGCCAGTCACCAGGTCACTCAGCTGATAACAAATCTCACCACACAACACATGACAGCCCAGCGCTTAAGTGGTTATGAGATTCTTTTTTTAATACCCAGAATCTGTCTTTTGGATTAAACAAGGTTTAGAGAAAGATCAGAATGATCTGTTCTCTAAAGAGGGGAGAATAGGCATACTTGAAGCAAGCTGCTTTATTTTCATCAGTCAGGCACATAGCAAGCACCATTCAATTCCTCATGAATTCATTTTATATTAGGAATCTCAGGCAGCATGTACAGTCTTTTGTAAAATCGTGTGAACGCTGCTCTTTTTACACACTTACAGATTGATTTTATTCATGTATCCAAAATTGGTAAGAAACAGCAATACTTACTGGTCATAGTTGATCAGTTTAGTAGATGGCATAAGGCCTTTGTGACATCTAGGGAAGATGCTAGTGAAGATTATTGTTACTGAAAATTATTGCCAGGTATGGCTGCCCTCTGCAGATTAGCTCTGATAATGGCCCGGTTTTTGCCAGTGGGGTTGCCCAGGAACTTGCTAAATTCTTGCAAGTTACCTGGCAGTTTCATATACCCTATCATCCACAGAATACAGGGGTAGTTGAAAGGATGAATAGGACTATTAAGGAAAAGCCCAGAATTTACCCAGGAACATGGGTAAATTGGACTAGATATCTACGAGCTATTTTAGCTGAGATAAGAATGAATCCCCACAAGGTGACTAAATTATCTCCATTTGAGATTTTGATCGGATGACCTTTTCCCACACCCTGGGCCAGGGAACCGCTTGTTATAATGTCTGGGGATTTACAGCTAATACAAGAACAATATGTACAGGAATTGTAACCGAATGGCATGTATGACAATGTTTCTTCGCAGTTTTCCCTTACCTTCACAGGAACCTACTCATTCATACCAGCCCGGTGACAAGGTGTATATCCGTCAGCTGAACAGGACCAAGAAAGGAGGATACCCTTTTGGACCACCTACTACTGTGATTGCTGTACCCAGAACCGCTGTCCTCACAGATTCCCATGACATCTGGATTCACGCATCCCGAGTGAAGCTGTGTCCAAAGAGGGGAACCAAGGAAGACAACACCACTCTTCGCTCGGAAACAGAAGAATTTCTCCTCAGCGAAGCATCATGGCTTTTACACCATATCGTAGATTGAGAGGATCATACGTACCTGAGACCAAGATTATGTTGTGCGCTATGCTTTCTGGAGTTGTTATACTCCCTCTGATATTGTTCCTTGAATGCCATTATGAGTACAAGTCAATGGCAAGTTTGAAACCTGTCTGTTTCTGGAAAAAAGACTCTGACATGATGAACAATTCTTCAATACCCCCAGCCCAATTAGGCCTTAGCCCCTCATCTAGCATTCGTCACACACGCCCCCTCAAGAACCTTTCTCCACCACCTTTCTATCAGCATGTAATATGCAATCATTCATTCACTGAACACATTTGGATGAATTGGACAAATGGTAACCCTTATAATTACCAGTTACCCATATGGAATGTGTCCACAGCTAATGAAACCGATGCATTATGTTTGTTTGAAGGTTCACAGAAAATTGTTAGATCTTATAACGCAGAAATTTGCACAGTTAAGGTTGCATATCAATGTAAACAGACAGGCCTTATTACTTTTAATAATGATTATATAACTGGTATCATTAATTGGAGAAGGGGACAAATGTTAGTCATTATGAACGACACTGCAATTGAGAACTATACACTACCTTATATTTTTACACCTTATTACTGTCCTTTATCCTCTACCATAGAACCAAAAGTCAACAACGACACACACACACCTATTCCATCCACATGTGTTAATACAACTGCCTTCTTACAAGCTGTACATGTGTCATTAAAAATCACTACTTCTGTTGTAACATTATGTAACACGACAAACAAAGGCAGAAAAGGGAATGGTATGACACACTGTTAGGAGGTGCTGGAACCACTATGGGTATACTAAATAGTATAGATATGGAGACCCTCAAGAATAAGTTAAACATGGCCAGCATGCATTTAGGGACTGGTTTCCATGCTACTGCAAACTGGGCTCCAATTGTTGTTAAATCAATGTATAATTATTTAGATAATTTAACTGTTGCAACTATGAAATTCACTACAGGTCTAAGTAACTGGATTACTTGTGCCATCAGGTATTTATGGATACAACAACAAGGATTGGCATTAGAAAACACACTAATGATTCCTAAACTAGAGAAGATTAGGATTAGGAGGAATGTGTAACCTCACAGATAATGAATGGTTACTTCTAAAACCCCAATCCACTAAATGCAATGGATGGTTAACTGGTAATGTTTCACATTTTTCATGCTCATGCTATTTTACATTATATCATACATCATCAAAGGATGTTAAATTAGCTTGTCAATTTAACACATTACCAGTACCAGTTTATGATCTCTTTGCCAGGAATTTAACCTGGTGGGCACCCACATACACAGGGGACTATATTTTTTCAAAAGATAACACACACAGGTAGCCACACATATCCTAAAAGGAGAACTCTTTAAGGTGAGTTCACAAATTCAGAATGATTTAGCCCATCATTGGTACGATGCTTTACTGGTTGGTCCCCTACTGGATCCCAGATAATGAAATCATTCTTCTATCCTCTTGTTATTATAGTCCTGATTGTATTGGGTATGATTTTATATAACTGTCACCTTACTTGTACATTGAGGAAGAGAGTACAGAAATTAATCCATAATGCAGAACAGAAACAATTAGAAATTCTCCTCTCTGCCACTGGAGGGTATCAACCCATCTTTAAACTGGGCCTTAGAAATTACCACATGGGAATCGAGGTGAAGAAATTAGTAAAAGTCCCGCAGGGAGTGACTAGCACCCCTGAAAATACCATGTGGAAGTTTCTCTGTCCTGATAAGATTTTATCGATAAGATGAGCAAATTAATTGCTCAAAGAGGGGGATGTAAGGAATATGAAATAGTTTCCTTGTTCATATGTATTTTATGCTTTTATAAGGTTTAGAAAATATTATTGCTGACTGAAAGGATATGAAATAGTTAAACTCAATTTAAGACATAATATGCTGACTGTGACAGACTAGGGTATTTCTTCTATAGGATGTCAGACAATGCTAAATCTCAGGATGTCTTGCCCATTACGATTTCAGGATATTCTTCCCCAGACGTATGCAAAAGCTTATCTTTCCATTGTCAGAATAACATGTAATATAAGGAAGTAATAAATCTTATAGTCTGTACTGTATAGCATATCTCATGGCTAATGTAAGTAAACTATGTATAAAATCTAGCTCTGGAATACACTCATTTGAGAGTCTTGTCAAGCATCCTGTTGTCCGTGTCTTATTGCTGACAATGATTCTCCATCAACATGGATTATGGTGACCGAGGGATCGAGAACCGAGGGGATTTGAGTCCATTACAGCATTAACCCTTTCAGTGAGTGAGTGGTGGCACTGGGCACGGAATCCACTGTGAGCCTGACACAGACGCTGGCAGACAACTAACTGCTATTCAATCTATAACAGTGAAAAAAGTTTTTTGGTTTTAAATGCAAGCTATTGTGACACCAGTGAGTGAGTGGTGGCACTGGGCACAGTATCCACTGTGAGCCTGAAACAGACGCTGGAGACAACTAACTGCTATTCAATCTATAACAGTGAAAAAAGTTTTTGGGTTTTAAATGCAAGCTATTGTGACACCAGTGAGTGAGTGGTGGCACTGGGCACAGTATCCACTGTGAGCCTGACACACCGCTTTGAGACAACTAACTGCTATTCAATCTATAACAGTGAAAAAAGTTTTTGGGTTTTAAATGCACTCTATTGTGACACCAGTGAGTGAGTGGTGGCACTGGGCACAGTATCCACTGTGAGCCTGACACAGACGCTGGCAGACAACTAACTGCTATTCAATCTATAACAGTGAAAAAAGTTTTTTGGTTTTAAATGCAAGCTATTGTGACACCAGTGAGTGAGTGGTGGCACTAGGCACAGTATCCACTGTGAGCCTGACACACCCGCTTTGAGACAACTAACTGCTATTCAATCTATAACAGTGAAAAAAGTTTTTTGGTTTTTAAATGCACGCTATTGTGACACCAGTGAGTGAGTGGTGACACTGGGCACAGTATCCACTGTGGGCCTGACACAGACGCTGGCAGACATCTAACTGCTATTCAATCTATAACAGTGAAAAAAGTTTTTGGGTTTTAAATGCAAGCTATTGTGACACCAGTGAGTGAGTGGTGGCACTGGGCAGAGTATCCACTGTGAGCCTGACACACCCGCTTTGAGACAACTAACTGCTATTCAATCTATAACAGTGAAAAAAGTTTTTTGGTTTTAAATGCACGCTATTGTGACACCAGTGAGTGTAAGGAATATGAAATAGTTTCCTTGTTCATATGTATTTTATGCTTTTATAAGGTTTATAAATATTATTGCTGACTGAAAGGATATGAAATAGTTAAACTCAATTTACGACATAATATGCTGACTGTGACAGACTAGGGTATTTCTTCTATAGGATGTAAGACAATGCTAAATCTCAGGATGTCTTGCCCATTCCGATTTCAGGATATTCTTCCCCAGACGTATGCAAAAGCTTATCTTTCCATTGCCAGAATAACATGTAATATAAGGAAGTAATAAATCTTATAGTCTGTACTGTATAGCATATCTCATGGCTAATGTAAGTAAACTATGTATAAAAGCTAGCTCTGGAATACACTCATTTGAGAGTCTTGTCAAGCATCCTGTTGTCCGTGTCTTATTGCTGACAATGATTCTCCATCAACATTGATTATGGTGCCCGAGGGATCAAGAGCCGAGGGGATTTGAGTCCATTACAGCATTAAGAATACTGGATACCCTGAAACAGGGAAAAACCAGTTAGGGTGTGTATCTGGGGCGTCCAAAATAGGGGGTAACCCTTACTTATATGTATAGCAAAAAAAAGGAAAACTGACCAAAGAGGTCAGAACTAGGAGGATGCCCCCTGGAGGATTGTCATATGTTTATGTGCAAATAAAACATAACCTTTAATAATTTTACATATAAAAGCTTCTGTCCAATGAGGAACAAAAGAATACGTTAAAAAAGAGTCTGGATAGGTCAGATAAATAATTCTAATTGGGATGTGCAAGCTGAATTTCACATCTAATGAATCCTAAGGTGAAAAGGACATACACAGAGCCCAATAAATAGCTGAATCAAATCTATGATGCAAATAGGAGGCAGCTAATAAAAAAGTAAGGCTGTCACTATGTTGCTAGGTTAGCCCTCTCTCAGTGAATGATAATATGATTTGGTAGAATATTGCTACATAGGATGCAAAATAGCCACCTTGTTGATTAACGCTGAGAGATTGTTACAGTCTTACTAGAAAATGAGCTAGACAGGAATCATGCCTGATGTAGTAAAAGTTCTGCCTCTGCAGCTGTCAGAGGGCAGTGCAATAACGACAGCAACGTGGAGATTTTATAAATAATGGTAAACCTCCCTCAGTATGCCAGCAAGCTTGCCTAGTCCCCAAAATAATCAAAGTGGGTCGACTACCTAGATTACGATAAACTAATAAAGAGAACTGCCTATCTCTTTAGCATCTCGAAGTCAGCTGTCTAGCCTGCCTAACCAGACTCAAAACCCTGCTACCTAACACGTGAAAAGGTGACTTTGGGACGCAGAGGAGGTGATTTGGACCTTACCCTCCTCAAACGTGAATCATATTGGATATATAGATTCAGAACCTTGACCCCTAATGGCCTTAACGAAGGTTTTACCTTCGCTCCCTTCATTGAGAGATAAGACTATGAAGAATTTAGATAATGTTAATACGTATATATACAGTTTATGTTTGTCATTTACTAAAGTTATAAAAGATTGAATACATTTCATTTTTTTATTATTTTTTCCTTTGGATACCGGTGGCGTAAATTCCCTAGACAGCTGATTCATCAATTTAAGCACAATTTGTGATACCCCATTATTAAATATTTATCCCTAAATTAATATTGGATACAGGATCATAAATGTAGTGCCTGTACTCATTAATATTTCATTATAATGTACTACTAGTCACTTTTTTCCTTTATCTGATTTTTGTGGAAAGGGATCTCTTGATTAGGAAAATATCAAGGTACAATTAATAGATTTACATTGTTTTGTTTCTGTGTGATTTAGATATTGCAGTACATTTATATGCTTATATGCATAATTTGTTTGCTGCTAAATTAAGCTTTTCTAAATCTCCATCTGATTCTCACTTTATGTACTCCAGCCTATATTTCGTTGGACATCTTATTACTGTCTTGGTATTTACTTCAGCACACAAGGGGTTACTATATACATACATCAATTATTATGTGCCGAATCAGTTAATTCATTGTGCCACCAGGGGGGGGGGGGGGTTACCACTCCGGACTTTGATGATACGTCATCAGGTAGGCGTGACTATGTCCGGATTATTCCCCCCCCTTTTGGCGCGCACACTCCTCCAGCTGATTGGCTGAATATAGATATAAATTAGCCACCGGATTCCCGAGGACGCCTGTAGAGCCTCAGACGAAGGCGCGTTTTTGCAGCGCCGAAACACGTGTTAGGTAGCAGGGTTTTGAGTCTGGTTAGGAAGGCTAGACAGCTGACTTCGAGATGCTAAAGAGATAGGCAGTTCTCTTTATTAGTTTATCGTGATCTAGGTAGTCGACCCACTTTGATTATTTTGGGGACTAGGCAAGCTTGCTGGCATACTGAGGGAGGTTTACCATTATTTATAAAATCTCCACGTTGCTGTCGTTATTGCACTGCCCTCTGACAGCTGCAGAGGCAGAACTTTTA